CTGCCGAGGCAGCGGGACCTGCCGCGGGTGCCCCAGCGCCGGGAGGGGGGATCCCGCCGGGCCTGCCCTGGGAACACAGCCGAGCCGTGGCCCGGAACCCTGCCCCGTTCCCGTGTCGGGGCTCGTCCCCGTGGCGCGCTCACCCCTCAGCAACCTGCTTCGTGTCACTTGTATGTGCGGGCACGTATTCCAGATCGGATTTCCAAATCTTGGAAGTACAGAACAACCTCATTTTGTTACCCTTCTAGCGCTACTCCAAACTACCATGACATCAGTAGATGATGAGGACAGAGCAGTGGCCGCTGCCGTGCGGCACACCTGTGTTCTAGGCCGGGGGCACACACAGGCTTTTGACTTCAGGAGGAGTTTCTGTTGATGCTGACGTGCTTCCACAACACCGGCTGCCTTGGTAGTGTTGCTTTCCGAGGTATTTTTAAAAGTGTTTATGACTTGTTCCCATATGGGATTGAACTCTGTCATAAGCGCTTTTATTGCATCTTTGCCAACTACCAAACCTATATATTATCTTCGTGTCTGTGTAGAACAGGCCGGATTGAAATAAAAATTTAAAATTCTACCACTGTACTTTCCTAAACAGAACTGTAATTCCTGTATGTTATTTTGAGAACGCATGTATGACTACATGAATCCATCCTGTGAGTGAATCCCACAAAGCACTCGTGACATCAGCAACATGGCTTTGGAAAAAATAATGAGTTCACAATTTCTGCTGAAACATAGGTTGATGGTTCTCTAGTTATATCTGCATAATGTGTTATCATAAATATTTTAATGTCAATATTTATGTCCAGGTTTGGAGCTCAGTCTAATCATCTTTCCAATTGTGTAACTTAATCCTAAATCTGGTTTCGGGATTTAATAGATAATTGTTTTGGGTAATTGGCAGGAGATGAAGATACCAGGCGGGTGGGGGGACATTTTTGGGAAGTGGGAGAGGGGAGCAGATGACATGTGAGCAATTGCACAGTTGGTGAGGGGCAGGAGAGCATGCCTGGGAAGACTTGCCATCTCTGCTCCCCAGCCTTGCACCCTGAGAAGCTCAGGCAACAGTCAGTCTGCCGTGGCTCTTGTCCCAGGGAGCATGTGAGCAGGTGATTATTTCTGTGTCCCACACAGCCACGTTTGGGAAATGCTGCTGTGGTGCCTGGTTTGGGCAGAGCAGGCCGTGTGTAAGCAGGGAGCAGCCACGTCTGCTTTGCAAGCAGCAGCAGCAGCACGGGAGTCCCTGGGACAGGCTGCGGGTCAGGGCAGCAATGTGCTTCTGCACGTCCTGACTCGAGGCACTGTGTCCTCTTGTACTGCACTTTTCTTAGAGCTGGAGCTTGTCTGCTCTTGCAGCATGTCTCTCTGAAGCATGGCAGATGTGTGTCTTCCTTTTCAGCCTCTGCTTCTCTCTGAAACATGAAGGAAACACATTACAGACTTGTCTCTACAGACTGGTCACAAGACAAATAAGGCAAGGAGGAGCAACAGTCTGGCCCATAAAGAGATCCTTCCTTTGACTGAACAGCAAACTTTTAAAACTTAGAAGAGCTTAGGTCAGTAGTTTTGGTGGCCAGTGCGGGTGCCATTTTCATGAAATCATGGTCTGGAGACTCCTGTCTGGGTGTAGGGCATGGCCCTGCAGCATACTGACCAGTTCCTTGGTTCCCATTGCACCCCAGTTATATTTTCCTGTGAGCTTTAGGGGTGTTTGTAAAGTGAAGGATATGGAATGTGGCCATTATGGTTCCCATTAGACGGTGGAGGCCAGAGGGCCTGCAGGTGGGCTGCTGGGGGATGGAGCTGATGAACAACAGCAGGACAGCCACACACACCCAGAGTGATGCAGGGCATCATGCTGTGTTCCCCATTGGAGTGACAGGTACCCAACTTTTTGGCACTTCAGATATATCCTGAATTTAATTAACCCAGGGCCTCAGAGGTAGAGCTCTCATGGAGATCAGTGAATTAGCAAATGTTTAATATCAAATACTCTTCTATCAACTGGCCTTCATTTAAGGAATAGAGAACAGGAATTCTCTATATGTGGGTCTGTAGCAAAGTACGATTGAGGCACTTATTCTTCATGGCACCCTGTGTCACCATCTGTGATGTATTGACTGCTGTGTTAATAGCAGCAGAGCCAGGTAATGGCACAACCCAGGACTTGCTCTGCACTCTACCAGGATACATAGGTGGGAAAGGAATTGGTGTGCGAGGAAAACTACAGCTGTAAAAAACAGAACAGGTCCCTATTAATATCTTATTTTTTGGCTCCATCACTTGTACCACGGTGCATTTCCTGTGGGACAAGTAAGATACTTAGCCTGAATGCTGTACCTGCAGACCAAGCCATGGCAGGGAGCATGTGCAGCTGCTTAAGGGTGAGGAAAGCACTGTGGTCCACAATATTTTGGTGAACACTTCCTCAAAAATTACTTCAGTCTACTATGAAAGAGGTGTTGAGTTCACCCATCAGCATCACCTCCCCAAGCTCCATAGTACCCCTGCAAGTTATTGTGACCACTGTAGTTACCACAGTGAACCATAGATTGTATGTGGCAGATTTGATGGTGAGAGAAAAACAATTACTTACATTTATCACCTATCCTTCCTTTTCTTGTGGATGCTGGCTCTTTTCCTGCGATAATGCAGAGCAGTTTTCAGTTACACAAGCAGATGCTAGGCTTCAGGTGGGTCATTTGGCAAAGCCAGTGGTCAGCAGAAGGCTGTGAAGTTGCATCTCTCAGGCTTTCTTGGCCACACAGTTGGTGCTTCCTGGACACCCAAGGCACCCCGGCCCCCAGCTGGCTCCAGCCGGAGCTACAGCAGCACAGGGATGTAGGATCCAACCCCCATATGTGGTCACTTTGCCGGCTGTTTCCTCAGAGTTCAGATAATTGGAGGAAGAAGGGAAGGAATACAGCTGTGAGGCCAGGAAATGGTTTGAAGGGGAGAGGAATCAGCAGTTGGTCATAAATATACCTTCTGTGTTTTTATTTGCAATTTATGTTGAGAAGGTGTAAGTTGCACTTTGCTGCTGCTTCTCGTAATTGTTTATCTTTTTTTTACACAACAGTTAAGAGCCCTTCTCTCGAGGAATTTTTTCCCCAGTGCTTCACATCTGCGGCACGTTTTATCACCCACGCGTGGCAATGATTTTCCCACATTTCAGGCGAATAATTCCCTCTAGGTGGCACCAGCACTCTTCGGTTCCCTCGGATCCCTCCCGCCTGCGCCGGGTCCCGGCTCCTGTTGCCTCGGAGGTCCCGGGAGACCCTCCGGGTATTCTCCTTTCTTCCTTCCACAGCAGCGCTGCGGGGCTCTCACCTCGCAGCCCCTCCTGGCGTCAGCTGTTTGGAACAGCTGATAAACCGATAGCATTGACAAATGCTTTGTAATTTAAAAGGGGGTTTGAAATTGGAAAATTGCCAGGTTTTGTAATTTGAAAATGGCAAACATCTGTAGTAGCATGTTAGCTTTTCATGGCAGGTATTTTTTTCTCTCCACTCTGTGACACTTGTTCCGTCTTGATGGATGGAGTTCAGCTTGCCTAACTTTACTCATCTAAAAATCAGATGAAACTAGCTGAAACTAGTTTGGAAGGTTTCTGATATAACTGATGGAGACAGGTGTCTCTTGAGTGCCTGGTTTTTTTGCTTCCTAAACACAGGTGTCTCGAAGCAGTTGAGCTGAATTGTCCTCCTTGGTGAAGATCCTCTTGATGAAAAGAGAATCTTAAAGGATTAAGAATAAAAATAACCTAAATTATTTATGCTGCCAGATCTGGAGTTGATTCAATGTCATGCACAGAGGCTTTCACTGAGATTGGAAAAAAAAAAAAAAGGGCAAATTTTCACAGGGGCCTGGGCCATGCAAGAGAGTAATCTGTAAATCACAGAATATTAGGGTTGGAAGGGACCTCTGAAGATCATCAAGTCCAACTCCCCTGCCAGAGAAGGACCAAAAACTAAGAAAGATCACTAAGAAAGATGTAACTGATTCATGTTTCCTGCCTGTTAAAGGAGACCTGCCTGGACAGTTTATAGACTCCTGTCATACATCACTTATGACAAAACTTGTTTACCAAGGAGAACTGAGAGAGGGTGAAAAGATGCTGTGCAAAAGGGGGGAAGGAGGGTCAAGCCTTGCCTGAACCATTTAGAAAATGCTGAAGAAAACAGATGAGAGCTCAAATCTGTGTATCACAAGGCTGGACTTATGTGGGGCCACTGTGGACTGTAATGTCCGATAGTGCTTTGTGAAATGTCTGCAGGGGCTGGAGAGCAAAGGTCTGCTTTGGAGATTTCCAACTCAAACTGTCATATTATTGAAAGGAATTTGTCTGTGTGGGACAAAAACCAGCATCGCTTACTTTCCAGTCCAAAGCAGATTTCCCTGCATCTAGACTTGATAGTCTTATTTACTGATATTATGTGGAGAACAGGAAAATTATTCAGTTACCCAGGTACTTTTTGCTGGTTCCTTTGTTCAGTTTTGGTTTTGTTTTTGGTTTTTTGTTTGTTTTGTTGTGTTTGGATTTTTTTTTCCCTATGAAGATTTTCATTTACTAGCAAAGTCCAAAGAGCTTTGTGAGTAAAATAGCTACAGGTGGGTTTCTTGGTAATCTCTGTGAGCCAGGATTCAATGTGAATGTAGCACGAGACCAACCTTTGAAGTCCAAGTATTGGCTACAGTCCTTGAGACCTTTATGGATGTGCTTTAAGCGAATATGGGTGAGGACCCTATACTTGATTGTGGGACATGATAATCTATGTTAATTAAGTTGGTCTGTGTAAGCAGGTCTAGGAACTTTATTAAATAATTTATTTATTCATCTAATTGGCGTAATAGGGTAAATTCACACACTTCTGTGATTTTTGGGAAAATACACCAAGAAAGCCAACAGACTGCTAGATTTTGAAGCTTAAAGTACTAGCCTGTGCTCTTCTGGGTTTAGTTATTGGAAGATAATACTGAGATAGTGGGACCAAGAAAGCATAAAGCACAGAGCACAAAAAAAGACCTCTTAGAGATGTGAGAAACTTGCACTGAAACACACTTCCCACCATTCAAGGATCACTACATGCCCTTGGCTTTCAAATTAGAAAATGTGAGTGTTTTCACCAGCTGATGGAAAGCAGAAATTACTCTCTGGTAAGACGAGACCTCCTGTGTAGGATTGGTGCCATGTACCTGGGATAAACACTGTTACGTTTGCATAGCTCTTAATGCATAGTTCATAGACATGAAACCACAGACCTCAAGGTGTGACTTCTGCGTCTCTTAGAGCCGTGATACTAACATACATGATTTATAGACTACTCAGCTATATTATCTGCTGAGTTTTCACTGAACACAGCTAGCAAGTATCTTGCCAACAGAGTTAACTTGAAGTCTGAAACAGTTTGGAGTTTCACCCTGTGAATAAAAGCAGCTTTATTACAGCTTGTAGGATATGGTATTGATCACAGGCT